GCGTCCAACAATCGTTGTATTTCTTAATCTAAAGGTGGCATTCGATTCTGTCGACCGAGAGGTTCTCTGGCGATGCTTGGCTGTGAAAGGAATGCCGAGAAAATATATCGCATTGATCGAGGCAATCTACTCGAATTCATGCAGCCAGGTGAGGGCTTACGGCGAGTTGTCATCTGAAGTGGTGACAATTAGTGGTGACCGTCTTAAATGTTCACTATCCCCATTTCTGTTTAATTTCATTATAGATGTACTAATAGATTTAACCCTAACTCACTCCATTCGAGATCCCCAATTTCCAACAGTAACTGTGTTTATTCCAGCAGCAGACAGCTGTCACGTATCTAAGGCTGTAGAATTCATAAAATTGTTCCAGCACGCGTGTGTACACATAAGCTGTGCAAGAACTTTTCGGATAATCCCTATATAGTAATGTTTTCTGCCTGTGAAAGGAATGTAAAGTTGGGTTGCCTTGGAGTATAGTTGCATGAATTGACTTTGAACGCTTCCAAAAGTACTGAGGGCCAGGGCAGTAGTAGGGGCTGGACTTGTTTCTTTTAGACACAGAGCACTGGTTGTTTGAGGCGAATTGCAATAGCCTCTGCTGTTTGGAGCAAGCGGTGCTTCGACGATTTTGGTAGTTTGTTAGGCACCCGGTATATTATAGAGAAGGATTCTTCTACACTGGCTTTGTGACCGGTTTGCACCAGATGGTCTAATATCGAGCTGTTAATAGTTTTGACTACACCTTTACTTAGCCATAGTGGGATATGTTCTCGAGCACGAAAAATCAAGTTCCTAGAGCAACGGCCAACATAACTCGCTCCACAAGCTCAGTTGAATTGATAAATACAATTTGAAGTGGCTAGTCTAGGTACTTCATCTTTCAGTCGAAGTAGCACCATCGGTCGTGTAGAGAATAAGATGTGTAGTTCGCCAGCATTAAAAGTTCTTTGAACTGATTTTCTTAATTTCTTCGTAATTAACTCACTTGGTATATCCCCCATGAATTGCAGTCGCATATAAAGTGCCTTCTTGTTTACAGATATTGGGTAGTCCTTTTCGGCTTTCTTTGTCATATGTTTCTTGATAAATTTGTCAGGATAACCATTTTCGATTAAAGTATCATATACCATGCTTAATTCATCTTTGATTACTTCTTCAGAGCATATAGCTCTAACTCTGTGGCTAAGGGTCTTCACTAAATTTATTTTGTATTTGATGGGAACGAAGCTATGAAAGTGTGTATATTGTCCCGTCTAAGTACTTTTTCTATGTAAATTTCTTTTTATGCTACTGTCTGGTTTTCTTGTAAGTAGGACATCCAAGAAGGCACTTGTGTCTTGGGATTCCTCTTCGCATGTGAATTTCATAGCCGAATGTACTTCATAGAATTCAGTAATTATTGTACTCCTATCGGAACCATTATCACAAAGAATAAAGGTATCATCCATATATCGGCAATAAAATGAGAGCTTACTGATCAGGTTGTTCAGAGGTCCATTTTCTAGGTTACTTAGAAAGAAATCAGCAAGAATTGGACCCCATGGGGAGCACGCTTTACAGGCAAGTGGACGGGGTGGCAATGGGCTCCCCATTGGGTCCAATTCTTGCTGATTTCTTTCTAAGTAACCTAGAAAATGGACCTCTGAACAACCTTATCAGTAAGCTCTCATTTTATTGCCGATATATGGATGATACCTTTATTCTTTGTGATAATGGTTCCGATAGGAGTACAATAATTACTGAATTCTATGAAGTACATTCGGCTATGAAATTCACATGCGAAGAGGAATCCCAAGACACAAGTGCCTTCTTGGATGTCCTACTTACAAGAAAACCAGACAGTAGCATAAAAAGAAATTTACATAGAAAAAGTACTTGGACGGGACAATATACACACTTTCATAGCTTCGTTCCCATCAAATACAAAAAAATTTAGTGAAGACCCTTAGCCACAGAGTTAGAGCTATATGCTCTGAAGAAGTAATCAAAGATGAATTAAGCATGGTATATGATACTTTAATCGAAAATGGTTATCCTGACAAATTTATCAAGAAACATATGACAAAGAAAGCCGAAAAGGACTACCCACTATCTGTAAACATTCATTATGATGTATATATAATTGTAGAACCTGATGATGAATTTATCGAAAAGAGTACTCTTCGTTCCGTGTCTATTTTTTTGAAAATTTTAATGGGCATTTTTAATCAATTGGTGATATGGCTCAAGATCATTCTCAATGGCGCAGATGCATCCACTCCTTGTGAATTATCATTTCCAATGAAACTATATTGTTCTTCGTTATTACTAATCCTTTGTCTCACACCTCTGTTTACTGTCTCCATTTTGCATTTCTACTTTCTTCTCTTGCTGTGTGTGCTACATGGAGTGTGGCGACTTGAACTGCTGCACATCGGTGAAAAGTTATATGTCGAAAACTGACAGACATCCTATGTCAGTAAAAATAGGATTGGTGAGATGTTTAAGTAACAGAGCACAAAAACTAAGTAGTACCAAGGGAAATCTAGGACAGAAAGTGAGGCATATGTGAGAAGCTTTGAAACTTAATAATTAGCCTGATACATTAGGCAGAAAGTATGTAGGGAAATTTAAAAATAAAATAGATAATAGTGGTAGTGATAGTGATAAAGATAATAATGATAATATTATTAATGACGACATGCATGTCAAACATACACAGGGTAATGACAACACCAACAATGAGGGATCTAAATCGTCAGTAGTACTTCCATACAAAGAAGGAACCTCGGAAACCTTACGCAGAATTCTTAACAAGACAGGAATAAAAGTGGCATTCAAACCCATAAACTCAATTAGAAACAAGCTTTGACGGTTAAAGGATCCTGTGGAACCTTTAAAACAAAACAATTTAGTTTATCTAATACCCTGCAATGATTATCAGGTCAGAAATATAGGTCAAAGTAGTAGAACAGGTGCAGTCAGACTAGCGGAGCATAAAAACCTAGCAAAATCTAGACTAGTTGACCCGAATAAGATAAGAAATCTAGAGAATAGTTCAGTTATAGCACTACATGCAATTGCACACAACCATACAATAGGATGGGATAAGATGACAGTTTTAAAATCTAATATAACGGGATGGAGGGAGAGATTGATAACGGAAGCTTTGTTTATCGAATCAACTGCAAACACGTGTAATAATAATAATTATTATTATTCACTTTAGGAATGATTCAACACTTGTTCCAGATATCTGGAAAATTCTAATACCCCTACGACAAATAGGAGAGAAAAAAATTAAAACCCAAGTTTCGAAGTCGTGATTATAATTGATATGATTATGAACAATAAATTTTCTTCGAAACGTCATCCATTAGATAATACCGTTTCACTGTGTGTCCGATATATCATTCAAGCAAACTAATGTGGAACACCCTAGTTGTTTTCTGATTATTTTTAAAGGCAATGAATTTAAGCTTATGTACGGAAATTTTGGGTATTCCGTTAGAGATTTAAACCGAAATGCATCGAATTTATTTTGTGAAGTTAGAATTATTAGTATCCGTAAAATGAATGCAGCTTTAGCGTTAGTGCAGAAGGCTATAGTTTGCGAAAAGAGGTGAAGAATACTTATTGCCATTCTCCAGCCCCTCAAAAGAAGCTAAAACATAACGCTTTGTAGCTCAAGGTACATTATAAAACAACATACTAATTATGTTAAGAGTGTTCTTAAGTGGCTTTTATACGAGACAGTGTACGTTTTGAAGCAAAAAATAATAAATTCCTTTTTAAATTTCGGTCACACCCTAACGGACCTCAATTTCACTTTATTAAGTGCATCTTTCCCATAACTTTTTCCTTACTTAAGAAAACATCTGTTGATAAAGAACTGATGGGCATTGAGTCTTTTGGAAGGACCAGAAGTGAATTATTGCAGTCTCAGTAACTACCTTTCATGTCTAACAACCATGAGCTCCCAGTACAATTACACTTCGAAAGCCGGCAATACACTAAGACCCATAGTCATTTATTTCAGGTGCTCCGACCTTTTGATTTTTTTAATGATAAAACACATTCCAAATAGCAGAGAAACATGGTAGACTACTTCTGTCAGAATTCAGACACGCAGTTTGAATTGTATTGCATAACCAAGTATTTTTAAAGTGAGGTGAAATAAAGGTAATTACTGTCGAAGAGAAATACAAATTACCGGCCTTACTGTTTTAACCAAAATATGAGTAGTATAAAACAAGATTACTCTGTAAGACAGCATAAAGTGCTGACTACACTTTCAACAACCAGTAATGTTTATCAGTAAGATTAAGTTGTTCCAGACGCCAGACGGCCTAGTTCATCAGCGATGTATTTGGTCAGACATAGTTCTGACAGCCAAATCACTCTAAATGACTACCTGGGGTTCAGACCACCACGTTCTGGATAGCAAGCAATGCTGACTGACATACGTGGTTCCATATTAGTTAGTTAGTTAGTAGTTCCATATTAGTTAACAAACTAATATGGAATTACTTACTACCACAGTGCCCAAGTTTTACACATATATTGACATACGTGGTTTTTAAATACTCATATGAACTGCGAGGATACACAGTCTTTAAGTTTCACTTGGTTTTTTCATGTTGCTTATGATGTCAAAACATGTCACATTCTGATTTGATAAATTCGGTTTCCGAAGGAAACCATAATAATAATAAATTTTTACTTCAAACTGTAATTTGCAAATGACGAATTCAACTGAAAGACTAGCTCTGTTAATCATGCCATCAGAGTTCTACAGATTTGTATTACTTATCAGTATATGTGTGATATCTATCTGATTATACGGATAAGTAATCATCTACAAATGGCAGTTGTATCCCTAAAATCTGAAAGTAAAGAAACCATGCACAATAGGAGTGAGACTATTAGTGATGGCAATTTCGATCATACTTCCTGCTACAATCTGGAAGTGAATTTCGGATTTTGCTACTCTCCTTAACAAAAGAAAAGAATCTCACCTGCATATTCGTATTGGGGTAAATTTCCGCTGAAAGTGTTCGAAGAGCTGATAAAGTGCTTGTATACAAAAAGGAATTCATATTTGAGTAGCTCATAATGTTGTTGTCCATGTTTCCCGCATTTAATCCGTTTGTATTGGGAACAGGCACTGGTAAAATAATTATCGGAAATAACACTGGTGCACACGTGGTCAGGGGAACAGAATTGCAGGAGGTAGTTAAACCAGCAACTTGTGCACATTTTGTAGGTGGTACACTTGCAGCCACTTTGGTTTTCGTAAAGGAACCAGGTAATGAAGTGTTAGGGTGCCCACTTCTTCTACAGTGTTGAAGTAGGTGCTTCTTATTGGAATAAGATCTAAAACAAACTGAACAAGAATACGTCGCTCCACACAATTTTTGATGATAAGCATGGTAAGAAGGTGTTGGGAAAAAATGTTTGCACTTTTCGCATTGGTAACTTTTCTGCATATGTACATGTTGATAGTGCTATGAAAAGCATGAATTAGAAAAATCCAATATACCTGCTTCAATCTCCAATAAGTACTGAATCCACCACCTAAACTAATGTTATGTTTACATGTAGCCACTGGACAGTGATAGATGTGGCTAACAGTATACCTTTGTTTGGAATAGAATGCGATATCTTTCGCATTCTAAGATGAACAGAGTCGACAATGAGTAAACTGTGGTTACCTTCATGATTTTATGAGTTTTGATTTGATGAGCTCGCAAATTTGCTTTTGTTTTCACTCTGATGCCACATAGTTCGCACACGTAGGTTGGTAATGGTAATTCAGTTAGTTCTGATTCTGAAACGACTACATGTAGAACATCTGATTCTGAAACGGAGAAACTGTTCACCCTGTGAACGCAACTATCATCGGATTCAGAAGGTAAAGGACGATAAATTTCACAGGCTCCCATGACCTAACAGTGAGAAGAAGCTGTTACAATTCAACAGTAATACTGATATGAAATGACCACACTTATACTCTAATACCAGTAATATAAAAAACACTATGCTTACTCCACTCAACTAACAGATGACAATGAAATCTTGTATATCTAAACGTCCATGTTAACAAAATACTTACAATGTATATACCTTTAGCATTTGTTTAAATAAGCAACCGTTAGTTTTGACATAATTACTCAACAGAGAAAACTGATGTTATTACAACTTTCAAAGTCATGTTTCGCATGTTCACTACTCACTACTCTGGATTTTAACTTACTGTATTGTGTTACATACTGCTGAAGCCTAACTTGAGTTCGTCCCGATGCTTTCCCCACATCAATCATCAATATCTTAATAATCTTTAATTAATGCGCAGTTTTCTTAAATTCCATTTGACATGCAACTAAGTGTTATATTTTTAGGATTGTGACTTTCGCATCTCCTTCGGACTGTAATTTCACTGATCTTAATAAATCGATATTTTTAGAACATAAAAACCGTTACTAAAGAGAACTCTAGAATATCGTGCACATATATGACTACAGAGCCGGATAAGAAATCCATCAAAAAGAATTTTCCCTGCTGGAGATTTTCCATTTTTCTATATGTCTCAGATATATACCCAAATTTTAATGCAAGTCCGGTGACTCTACACTCTAGCATTCCAAAACGGTGTTTATTTCGAATTGCGCACTTCCACTTCTTACGAATCTGATTGGTCGCTACAGGTAGTTTCGTTTCGGGCTGCTCATGTGTGGAGTTGCCGTAAATCCCCTTGATTTGTAATGTTTACTAGTATCATGTGCTAAATAACGAAAAATGCGTACGTCACATATACTTCCTGAAACTACTGTTCCATACCACAGGAACTATTTGCCTTAACAAAAAAACATAACCCTAGTATTCCGAACTTATTGTCCAGCCCGCGGAATATTTCCAATATCCAATGCTCCTCTAAATGAACATGCATATGCCATGTGACTTCTTGTTGCTTCAGATTAGTTCTACCCTCCTGAATGCCACAGTGCTGCTAGATACGATGAGATATGAGCTCATGCGACGGAATGAGCTAGACTGCTTCGAACCAACGGACATCTTCAAAGTTAGAGTTCACCTTTTCAAAACCTAGGCTGCTACATCACCCTATCACTTTAGACAGGCTTCCCTTAGCTGCTTGTTTCCTATAACCCTTCTTCAGAAAGAGGCAGGTGACCATTTATGTGACAATTACTAGAAGAAGGATAATTATTCGGTACCTTTTGGGTTTATGTGAAATGTTTCAACTGAATAAAATATGCGGCTATACTGTCCGTGTTATTATTCCCATTGTTAATCTTTGCCTTTTGCAACCACACTGTTTCACCTGTATTTAACGGTGTCCTCTAATTCTTTCTATCTTTGTACTCTTTCTATCTGTGTTGTACTGTCTGAAATACTTTGTGTGCAAAAGTATGGTGCCTGACACTGTCAATACCATTTTCAAAATCGTCGGGGAGTCATCCTAAAATAGAATGACTAGCGTATCACTAGTAGGGTATTACTCACGACAAATGCAGAGAAGTTGTGGCGTTTTTTATCTGTATGATAACGGGCGATGTGGTAACAAACTTGCTGTGTGTCTGCAAACGTTTACAGAAGCGCCTTAATAGCTGAAATCATACTTTCCATCAATCTGCGCTCTTCAGCATGACCTAATGTGGCTCTATGTTTTCAAATCCGGAATAAGTGGCATATTTCTCCAGTCAAGACTGTGAATTTCTTCCCTTGGTTAGAATGCAATTGTTCGGGAAATTCAGCAGTCAATATGACTTTGGCTACAACAGAAACATCAGTTCGCTCGAGTATCCAAGGAATGTACCAGACTAAGGTGCATTTGTTCGCAAGCCTCCTCTGTTATAACTGTCCCAAAATGTCCACACTAGCTATCTGATTCAGGTATCGGCTTTCATATAGGTAATCGATGCTATAAGTTCTCTCATTGGTTTCGTTATCGTAACTCATGTCATACTAAGACGGACAAAGTCTCGAACGTCCTGTGATCGCCAAGGCCACCGATATCTTTGGGCGATTGCCCGCAGAATTTTTTCACTCCTGCCTGCCCCAAGTCACAATACTCATCTTTTTAAAACAGCTGTAACGAAAGACTGAATGACTGCAACTCTCCCCAAGTAATTAGCACCTGAGTGAACACAAAATACCATCCGCAATCGCCAGATAGTCCCACAAGGCTCAAAAGCGACTCACCTATCAACCCCTCTTTCTTAAAGCAGCTCTGGTTAGTGTTCTATTATGGCTGTGCAGTGCTCCATATAAACAGTTTCGTTTCAGTGTCCGTTGCTCAGACGTTTACCCACTGCTCAACCCTGCCAGTTATACAGCGTAGATATCAAATTCCTCCCACAAAGGGCAATTTCCATATGGTCTGAATGGCCATCTAGATAATGCACCAATAATTAAATCGCGTCTGTCATGGCAATGCACGCCACCTAGCCATGTGTTCTTTAGGGTCTTAAGAATTCCACAACCAATGCAGTACCCTATGAGCTGCTTTGGGCATGGATTTACCAATGATATAGGGTCTCTACTGATGGCCAGCATCTTCCTGTAGATACAACTCTTTTATTTTCAATTAAAAGTATGGCTGCTGTATTATATACTAAGTATTTTGCTATTGCTACCAACTTCAGATAATACAGTGCCAGTTGATGCTTGGCTGGTATCAGTATCTAAGATGGACTTATCGGCCGCTGGAAATGTATCTGGGAAGGTTAAAATAGATGCTTGCCACAGTGAATTCTCCAACAGACTGAAAGCACGATCACAATCCCCTATGCACTCTAAGGGAATGATTTTCCCCGTTCACCTTGTTAACGGGCTTGCTGCTTCAGAATAACTGCTCGCGAAACGACGACAATTTGAGGCCAGTCCACGAAATCTATGTACCTCATTCTCATTCCTTCATATGGACCACTCTCTAATGGCTAATAATTTTCCTAAATCGCTTGGCATTCCTTTCGCTCCCGCTATATGTTCATTCCTTAGGCCAAAAAGCACTATATCGCTTTCATGCAAACCTTCAGGTATAAGAAAAGCGGTCTTAGAGTAAATACGAAAACGCACTTCAACCCATTACTAACCTGAAGAAAATTCCAGTGTTGAAAATCAAACGGGCCACGTCAAGGCTTCCAACATTTAGTTGATTCGCTGCAAGGAGTGGGCGTCTTTCCATGTCAATGCATCTAATGTCATCCATTCCACATGAAAACGGAGTGATCTGCCTTCTTTTCCAACAGACCTAGAAAATATAACGAAGCATGTTTTGCAAAGATTCAATATATGTAAGGGTCCTAGTGCTACTGGCTGTTTGGGCACGTAACAGATGGCTAACGTGATTTCAGACAATATAACCAGCAACAAGAAACGAGGTGAAGAGAACCAATTTGCCTTAAATATTAGATAATGAGAAGGATATCAGAAATTGGCAACTGCTTCAACACTACGGAGTGCCCCAAACACATATGAACCGAAGGTGAAAGTGCGGAAACGGTGGAAGATGCTGGCCAGTTGTGTAGCCAGTTTCTACAAGAGAGAATCACTACAGTATGTCGGACATCAAAAATCACTTTTGAGTCTCAAGACTTCAGCATGGATTGTGGGAATTTGCAAAAATGCCAAAGTATTCAAATAGCCAAGCGCCTTAGAATAGTGCCTCTTAGTATGCTTATTTAAATCTCTGTAATCTCCACATGGTTGCATCTCTGTTGGTACCACATGAAGTGGTGATGAGCATGGGCTGTTTGATGGTCGTATTATTCCTAGATCCAACAATCTGTCGAAATCTTCCTTTGCGATTTGCAGTTTTACTGGATCTAAACGACGTGGTTTCGCTGCGACAGGTTGACCTTTGGTAAAAATTTGGTGCGTTACGTTGTTTCTGAGAGAGGCTGTGGAGTAATCACTCTATGTGAGTTCAGGGAATTTGTTGTAGCAAAATTTCGTACTTGCATAACTGATCTGATGAAGCTACAATCAAGCGGATACTGTCGACATCGGTGAAGATGCCCGAAACCGATAGTTTGCGATTGCTATTTATCAATCTATGGTGACTGGAGTCGACTGGCAATTAGGAGTGCTGAAGAAAATCCATCTTAGTTATAAGAAAGGTTATATCGGCAGTTGCAAGCTCCGGCTCAAATGGTATACTAGCTTCTGCACCGGTATCTGTTAGGAGTTGTGCTCCCTTTATTTTTTCTGTCACCCTGAAGAGACGACTGTGAAACAGGTGTTGGCCAGCGACCGCAATTGTCACCGACAGCCAGCCTTTTCGTTTCCCGACACCATAGGCAGGTAGAAAGCACATGGTTGTGTGCACCATTAAGCCTGTATACCAAATTTTCGATGATAACAGCATATAGTCCGTTGTTAGCTATATTTACATACCTTGAGAGAGCGACTATGCTGCATTCTGTATGATGTAATAGGTTGCCTATTAAACCTCATCGTCATTAGTTGCCCGGTCAGAACGTCCACTTTACGTTCTAGTGCTTCTATGCCTTCGTTTGATGATTTGTCGAATACAGATGTTACTTGTGGAGACATACCTTCATACATTCTTGGGAATTACCAGCCGTCACAAGCCCACCCCCACTCTTTTATTTTGAGTTTATTGAAGTGAATGAAATCCAAATTCACAAGAAAGTAGAGTGTTTACGGATGAAAGAATATGTGTTGGAATTATGTAATCTGCATTATAGTTACTTGCAAAACATTCCCAAATATAAATCATATTGGTATAAGCTATTTCTGAAATGTTTGAAAGCCAACTTATTTCTCACTTTATGTACGTACATATATAAACTTTGAAATACGTTTCAGACAATGGATGAATCCACTATGAAATAAATATTGTGTCAGAAACTGCGATTCCGAAGGACTAAGAGGTGTCATGAGAGAGAGACAGATAAATAAAATCTAAAAGAAGGCTTCCGATTTGTTGAATCACAATTTGTCAGGATTACAGCCCATCGTCACAAGCAGTTTTGCCCCAAATCTATAAAACCTGGCTTTATCGAACAGATACGTGTTGTCACTTTGTATGTTTCATTACCATCCTTGTAGAATGGCTTGCATTCTGTGATGTCAGCATGTAGGTCTATAAACGACGGCATTCGCCTGGAGAGAGAGCCGAGATCCTCTGTGAATCACTGATTTCGTAGACCTGTGGCTTTTCAGCGACATCCATCCGTGGGACTTGAGGAATGAGACGAAGAGTTGGTCAGCCTGTTAGGTGGCGCCGTGGCGTCAAGGACTGTTGTGTTAACTTTTGTTGCTGTATGTTGACTCTCTAGATCAGGTTCGGAAGACAATTTGAACCTGTCTGAAGACGTAGATGGATAGAAATCAATGACAAACATGCTGCAATTTCTTCCTTACTCTTCTTTCCGAGTGTGACAGATATACCCACCTGTTTTCGTTCCTTTGGTGCTCAACTACTTCATTGTTCTTATCCTCATGTTGCTGTTCCTTCTTCGGTTTCGTGCATTCATTCATTTCCATATTGTACCAAGTTTGTGCTCCAAATAAATAGTATCATTAAATGTCGAGTTTTTATTTATTTCACAAAGTTTTCAGATTGTGATAGTACTTTAGACGCAACCGGTAACAAACCCCATTGATTACGACGTGCATTACGTAGACCCTGTTTAAAGGTAGATACAGTGATCGCCTATTAGTTTCCTACACTCGCAAATAATCTCGCCAGTTGACTGGCGGAAGTTCATCACCATCTGTAAAGCGTGTCCGGAGTAAGTTATTTGCGTTGGCTGCTGTATGCTTAGGGACTTAGAGTTCCTTTCGGGGACTCCGCTTCATCTTACGAATCGGTGTTAACGTTCTACAGAGCAAAGCTGTCAAGAAGTGCAAGGAATATTTTGTGGAATGTTTGTTTTCGTCAACTTCTTTCTCAGTTTCTAAATTGTAACTTTCGCAAATATCATCATTACAGTAATCATAAAAGACACAAAACAAGATTATTTGATTATTGATGTCCATTGATATCGGAACTGCTGAAACTGTTAAGGAAACAAGTAGGTAGCTTGTGGAGTGCGTAACAATGTGATTGTACACTTTTTGGTTATTTGTAGAAATTAGACATATTGTACATAATTTTTGTTTAAAACGTTTCTGGTTGAAATACCCTTGTCTTCCGTGAACGATTGGAAAATACACTCTGTTGTGAAGTAACTTCTGCTTTTGTTGTGTAAATCGCATCAGAAGCTTTTTGGTTTATTTTAACTGGTTTAATTAGTTAAAGTAGTGTATATTTTTGTGCACTTTTGTGACTTTTTGTGTTTTTATATCTCTGTATTTAGGTAAATATATATATACATATATGTGTGTAACTTAAGCAGCTTATACTAGCATGAATCCCACAAATAGTTGTGGACGACCGGACTGCCACTTTCCGGTGGAGGATGGGATGCAGTGTGATAACTGCAACCTATGGTTCCATAAAGTTTGCACTGGCTTTTGTAATATTAGTGAACTCTAACATAAGTCCCCTACAAATTAATTAATTTATTTTTTATTTATTTTTTTATTTATTTTGATTCACAGCTTGATTCCACACCGTACTTTCAGTACAAGTGTGGAATTTTCAGCATTGGTTAGCCCGACGTGATTTTCTTATAAGCGGTGTGTTCCGCACATTTACCAGTTTGCGTGTTGTTTGTGAATCCCCAGGGACTTAACTCACTACTCTTTCGGATTGTCTCATGGAATTATACTCCCAGCTTAACCGTGCTCAGCTTAGTTACGACTATCTCCACACCAACTCGACGACCCATGAGTTTCTTTTTGGTGCAATCGCGGAACTTATTGATAATGCTCGTGATGCTGGTGCGACAGAGCTGGACATATATACAATTAAGGACAGTTCCGTACGTGGGAATTTCCTACTCTGTTTTGCAGACAATGGTTGCGGCATGACAACAGATGAGGTCAAAAATGTCATAATATTCGGGAAGTCACTAAAGAAGTGTGAGGACAGTGCCGCCATAGGTATGTATGGGAATGGCTTAAAATCTGGTTCTATGCGAATTGGAAAGGACTTGATTTTGTTCACCAAAAAGGATGGCATATACACATGTTTATTTCTCTCAAGGACTTTCCACGAAGAGGAGAAACTTGATGAGGTAGTTGTTCCTATGCCCTCGTTTAAAGGCACAGAGAAAACTCCTATTGCGGACACTCCTGAAGAGAGGAAGAAACATGAACTCGAAATGTTTATAATTCTGAAGTATTCGCCATTCCGCTGCACGAAGGATTTCTTCGCACAATTTGATAAACTTAAAGAGAATTCAGGGACCGTAGTGATTATATACAATATGAAGCTTCTCGACCATGGAGGACCTGAGTTGGATGTAACTACAAATACCAGAGATATACTTCTTAGCCCTGGTTCAGAACAAGAAGAGACCGTTGAACGGGATGCAGAAGTTATGCTCCCACCTGAAAGACGCAGTCTTCGGGCGTATGTATCAATTCTCTATTCTGACCCTCGTATGAAGGTGTATTTACAAGGTCGGAAAGTACAAACCAAAAGACTACTTGCAACGCTACATAGTGCTCGAAAATACAATTTTGCTAGTAAAACTTTTCGTACCAGAGCTGAAGCAGATTTAGCAAAAGCTAAAAATGATGTGAGAATAGCTGAGCTTCGTGCTCAAGAGGCAGAAAGCAAGGCTCGGGATTGTGAACTTCGCTACCAAGGCTCTGAAGACCCTGAACATTTGCGTCAAATACGTCGTCTTAAAAATGCTGCTGCCGAGCTACGTTCAGCTGTGGAAATGAAACAGAATATTGTTGCAAGAAAATCAAAATCAATCAAGGATCCTAAGACGCTTACATTTTATTTCGGTGTAAATGTTATGAATCGTGCTTGTGATGGTATGTTTGTTTATAATTGTTCCCGTTTAATCAAGATGTACCAACGGATTGGGCCACAACAAGATTCTAGCATGATGTGCCGTGGTGTCGTTGGCATTGTTGATGTCCCCTATATGGTCCTTGAGCCCACACATAATAAACAAGATTTTGCAGATGCTAAAGAATATCGTCAATTAATGCGTGCAATGGCAGATCATTTAATGCAGTATTGGGATGATCTTGGAATCGATAAAGAATCAGATAGTTTAATACGATTTTGGAAAAGTTTTGGTTATTTGTCAGCACGTTGGCGGGATCCACCTAGTATAGAGGATAAATATGCCTGTCGTCGTTGTTGTTCCGTTTCTATATGTGTCCAGTGTGATAAATGTCTAAAATGGAGAATACTTCCGTTCTCACAAAGTCTTGTCGGACGAGATGTCCCAGATAATTGGCAATGTCGAGATAATACGGATCATAAGCATAAAAAATGTGAAGATCCCGAAGAAGATATGAGTCCACCAATGGGAGTTCTTAAGCGAAAAATTAAAACGAAAGAACAAAGACAAGCAGAACTTGAAAAACAAATCCGCAAAAAACAAGAGGAACTTGAATTAATTCAAGATCCTGATGATGAAAAAACTGATGATTCCAGTGCCACTTCTAACCGTAGTAGTCGGTTAAGTGGATCTGCCAATGGCAAATCTCCACGTAAACGGCCTTCTCAACCACCTCCACCTACTGCAGATCCTCCGAACAAAAAATCTACTCATGCTCCTCCGCCGCCGCCGCCTCCTCGTGCTATGACAGTTGCTGATAAGAAACGTCAAGCTGCTGGATTAGCATCATCCAATGGTCCTTCATCTTCAACAGTTGAAAAGCGTACTGGTTTACCGTTACCAACAATTAATCAACGCCAACCACGTCCTGGTGGATTAGTCCCTAAAATCCCACAGCGTAATTCAATTGCTCCTAAAGTACGCAGAGTTACAACAGCTGAAGATGAAAGCAGCAATGAAGAGACTAGTGATGAAGAAGAAGACGAGGAGGAGGAGAAGGAGAAAGAGAAAGAAGTTACTAAGCAGACAACTCCGAAAACTAATCGTAACAAACTAAGTACTCCTCCATCAAAAGTGAATAATCCTGTTGTTGCTGCAGCGAGTAGTTCAACAGTACCGAGTACTTCTCAATCCCAAGAGAGAAATACGTCGAGAAGCACTGATAAAGTAAATGGAAAGAAGGCTAGTAAAACGGAAAAGAGTCCTGTACAAGATGTAATTACAGTGCATCATCGAAACAGAAATTCAACGGATCGTGATAATAATGGTGGAGTAGCATCGATTCCAACGAAAAAAGATCCGCTGGTAAATGAGAATTCAGTTGGAGATAAAACAACAGAGGTGAATTCCTCTTCAACTGTAGTAACCTCTTTTCCCTCAGAAACGAATATTGCAATGAATAGAAAAATCCAAGAGAAATTCAAGGTTTGTTTACGATATTTCTTACCGCCGTCATGGTCAGTGGAAAAGGATAGAATCCATACACTTACAGAATCAGAACTTGCAAGCTTCCCTTTAGAAGATTTCTTTGATAGATATGAACAAGGTCTTCGAAATCTGTTAACCTCCTTCCGAAAGGAAACCGCAGTAGTCACAGATCAACTGACAGAATTACGGTCCAATGTTTGTGAATTTCTGAAGAAATACGATCCAGACTTCAAAGAACCCTTGAATAATATCGAAGAAGTAGATAATTATCTGAAAAATTTCCTTGCAAAAAGTTGAATTCCTCCGCTCACCATAAAAAAAAACATCTAGACCAATCATTGGTTGGTGGTTGAATTAATCTACTCCCTGTGCAAACGGAGTTTCTCCTCTCCTCTCCTCTACTCATGCGCGCAGCTGTTATATATATACATATATATAGTAATTATTATTATTATGTTTGCCTGTTTTATGGTTGGTGTCTCACCGAATCTCTTTTGACTCTTCTCTTTTTGTGCATATTAATGTATTCCTTCAAGAACTGTCTGTCTATAAATCTACGTGTTGTTACTCTCTATATGTATATATATATATATCTGTATACAACATAGCAAAACAACAACAACAAAAAAAGTATTAAAAATTATTATTATCTTTTTCGTTTAGACATTATTATCATGGCCGTTAGTATTTCGTTGTAAACTTTGATGTTACTATCACTATTATTTACTTATGTGTACCTCACCTATAAAACAGGCATTGTCCTTTTCAGAAACTCTTGATCTTTCATCCATATATATATATTTTTCGTTATACATTGAAAACCTATGCTCATGATTAGTGCAAATTTAAAAGACATGACTTTCTGTTTTAATTTTTTGATTGCTGAACTAATTGTATATGCTTTCAGACTTTACATGACTCCCATAACTTCTTACGTTTATGCATGTTGTAATATATCCCTAATTTTATGCAAAGATTGTTATTACTATTATTATTTACTTCACAGCTTTACTTAACCTTTTCCGATGGTCTCTCCGGACCTCTAGGGGGGAGCCCTGTGGAGTGCGTAACAATGTGATTGTACACTTTTTGGTTATTTGTAGAAATTAGACATACTGTACATAATTTTTGTTTAAAACGCTTCTGGTTGAAATACCCTTGTCTTCCGTGTACGATTGGAAAATACACTCTGCTGTTGGAGACTTCGTCTTCTCCTTGGTTTCTTTGGGGTTACTAGCTCAGCTCTCACCGTGTTGCATCTTTCGGATTTATTGTAGGAGTCCACTACGCTCAACAGAAGACAATTATACAACCGGGACACAGCAGCTACAACCTACTCCGTCCAAAGAACTAACGTCTCCGTGGGTTATATAAATAATTTGTAGCAGAGGACTTCAACTTTATTTCCAAGTAAACCTTTTGTTGATATAACGTGTCGTTGCATTTTTGGTAATATACTGTCACTTAACATTCCATTGACTTGAATTTTATTTCTCATATTTTGTAATACTAGTGAACTCTAACATAAGTCCCCTACAAGCTATTCTTTGCACGATATGTTGCAGTTCATTTGTTCAAAACGCTTTCGTTACTTAATGCATGCTCGTTTTTTACTAATGTTCTGTTACATGGAGGAGCACGATTCATTTGTAATTACATTAGCTTACACAAGGCGAACGTAGGAATGCCTATTTCATACTTGAAAGAGCTTGTACTTCGGTGTATATTGAAGCTCTAATTTCCTTTGGGTGCTGATCACTATGGGTTCGGCACTAGTAAAATTGTTAACAGATTTCTTTTTAACTGGTACAGTGTAATCTTGTGCCTGCTATCAAGAGAGCGATAAAAAAATATGCGAATGAAATGTTCGTCGTATGTGATGGTAACTGCAATTTGGAAGACACTCCGACAGTATTCATTAGTAGCCATCCTACTCTCCAGTTTACGTTAGAAAAAGAAATTAGTAGTAAAGTATCTCTCCTTGATATTCTACACACAAAGAGAGCTGATGAAACATTGAAAAGATCAAATGCAGAAGTCGGTATGGATGGGGTAACTGATAAATGGTGCACTTTTTCCTCCACTGACAGAAAAACAAATTTAATCCGATATTGTTCAGCACATGTTCAGAGAGTCTGTAGTGAGGACATTGCTGATGAAAAGCTTAGACAAATGAAAGGAACTTTCGTGGAGTATGAATGTGCAATACAGTTTTTTGGGGCAATTGGTAAACTGTCTGGAAGAAATTCAGACTGGAAGAATATACATAAGAAGATGTTGCAGCCAAAGGTAGAATTTGGAGTGACAGCATGTGTGAGACCTTAGTAACTGATTGACGAGGTAACGGAGGAAACTATTCTTTACTGACTCTCTGAATAACCTATGCAAGCCCTCCATTTTTGCACCCTGATGTTAAGGGGATGTTACAACGATTATCCACTTCTACCTGAAGTTATATGTAAGCCTTCTGTTGTTAAACTATCTATATAGGAGTTTCATCTGGATAGATATCTTGCTGCATCATGGAGCACGTTCCATTCAGGCTGAGCAAAGGAGGGCGTTAAGCTGTTAATTCAACCGCATTACAGCATGTGGCATAAGTGCAACCGTTAACACAGAGAAAGTCTTCGTAACACATAACATAAAGACAGAATTTTGTGTGCAAAAATAATTCGTAAGATTCCTTTTGTTAACTTGGGCTTAATTTTACCATGTCATTCGTAAAACTTCCTTATTCGTATTTTTTTTAGATAGGTTGTACTATTTCGCTCTACGTTATTGTGATCTAACATACTCTCTATTTTATTGACAATACTTTTCTCACCTTATTTTCCTAACTTACTGAATTTAACGTGATAAACTAAATGCACTGAGTCTTGCAATCATCTATTTACTAAATTCTATTGTAGTCAGTGCTGACCTCGAAGTATTCATGTTTCCAAACAGTTTGGATTTCATATTCATTTAGGACCATAGCAACGCGCTTCAATGTTCCCACTTACTTACGAATTTTAATACATAAAAAGGAAATTTATTTGTAAGTATCTTCTGTGACTCATATACAAAAGGTGTTGTACAGCTTTGAGAATGAAATCGCTTTCAAAGGGATATTTCTTCCTGAATTAAGATCAAAATGGAAACTGTCAATATAAATAAATGTGGTTAAATTAAAAGATGCAATTAAAATGGGGTTATTTCGACATTGATTTAAAAACATGAAGAATAATTTAAAATAGGTATGAATATAGGACAAATTGGTGCAATGAAGCGTCAGTGGATCTGTAACTCTCATTTGCATATTTAGAAAAATGGGAATTTGAAGCTACTTAAAATACGGGTTTCGTAGGACGACTTATTATCAAGAGAATGGCAGAAAGTGTGAATGCAGCAGTCAAATAGGAAATGCTCAATGCTGGTTGACAGGGTGGCAAATAGTGATGGTGTGATATAAAATTGGTGCTCTGTAGGGGAATAGGAGTAGCGAATGAGGGGCGATTAAGATGTTGAGGTACATGTCGAAACCTAATCATTTAAATTAGTTGGTATAAGTCTCTGATAATTTCATACTAAACAAATACAGTTACATAGCCTGAATTGGATTTCGAGTGCACAGTTAAGATTTACTCTAACTGTTTTCCCTAGCTTCATCTATGCTTATCGGAATTAATGTCGTGCCTCTGTGCTGACCAACTTGTATTTGATGTATCTCTAAAAATCCTGCTTTTGTTTTGATCTGATGTTTGCTGTTCACCAAATGAAACAAAATGGTCTTATTTATTTGCTCCACCTCAAACCAAACTGCAGGGATGATAACAGATCCACAAGGATGATGTCATTACATCTAGCCTCACAGAAGCGGTTAATTTATATATATACATTGATTTAGCTATCCTTGACAATTCATCTTTAATTTTCTGAATCTATTTTTTAAGGGATTTGATTTGTTCACGAATTACCATCACTTAGAGAATCACTGAAGACGTGAAGTACTGGACAGCTGTTTCGTTCTAGTCTGGTACTTATCTTTGAGCATTGAGTCGACCACCGTTAGCTAAATGGTCTACGACCCAAACTAGTATCCTGAAGATCCTTGGTTCGAACCCCGGTGAATAAGTATTGCCAATGAGTCCCAAACTAGGACGAATCAGCTGTCTTTAGTTTGCGGCAACAAAGGTCTGCTTGATAAACTGATGTGTAATTTTACCACTATCGACGTATTGATCTTACGATTTAATATATCACTATGCGTTTCGCCTTCAAATAACACTCGTTTTAAAATTCCCATCTTATTGACAGCATTCACCTTTATTTTATCACTGTGTGTCGTTCACAAGATTGCGGCGATATCCATTTTGTAATAAAGTACACTATGTGTTTCGCATTTTTGTCATCCCTATGGTTGCATGAGCATAGGGATGTTATCTTGCGACTTGGATAGTCAATTACATTTCGTTTGTATTGTGTCCGTATGTTGCTATTGAAATCGATGTAGTATCTGTTTTCGTGTTAATGTTTCTTTTTCTACACCACTATGCTTTCGACAAGGAGAAATTGCTTTCGTTCTTTCCATATTTCAATGAACCAGCAGGCTATGTTTTTACTGTCACAAATGTTCGTTTCGGTCATGCCACGCCAGAAATGTCCATCGGACAGTATGAGTTATTTACATTATGTTGGGAGTCTTGCATGTCGGTCTTTGGATATGTATTCCACCTTTGAGTCAATCACGGAAGACCCAAATATAGTTATTCATTCAATCTCCCTTGATCAAGATGGAGACTATCTAGCTGGTTTAGTTGAACGTGTTGGTGCAGGGATATCACTGAGCTTCAGAGCATGCATTTCATTACCTGAGAGTACAACCCACTGAACAGGCGTCTGTGTGCTATCCGGTTTCATGATAAGTGAGAATGAGGAAACACCATGCTACCCGTTCATGTGTTTTCATCACCTCCGCCTTCATCCCATCTGACTGAAATCTGTAATAAGTAAAGGGTTGGTTCTATCGAAATCTAACTAGTTTTCTGCTTAAAACAGAAGACTTCAATGCTGAAGCTGATAGGTTGAGCCGAGCGAAAAACATATCGGAAGAATCTATGGATTCCCATACTAGTGAACCAACAACGGCTATCAATATTATGAACAATAAATTGTGTTCAACAATTGTCTTCCGCTTCATGATATCTGTTTGGATTTCAGCTGGAGGAAGGAACCAGTGGATAACTCTACAATAATTAACGAATGGATACGACCAGTCTACTTCTACTGTTTCTTAACCACATGCCTTGACGGCGATCGTACACTAGTTCAGGTATATGGGCATATAGAAAATAAGCGCCTGAGAAGTTCATACGTTATTTTATTCAAAGGGGAGGTGACTAGGCATATACCTGATTCATAGCCGTAGTGTCCAACCTGAGGAAGCCTGACGATATATCTAGGCCGATATAATTACAGTAGTGGAGACTGTTGATAACCTGAAGTTATAGTTTAATGGCAGCCTCATTGAAACTGGTCGAAACAAACTGACTTATCCTTGGAGGTGATGAACTTGGTCATTGGGAGCTGCTCACATGTAATCTTCCTTAGACTCTTCTCAGTGGTCACGATCATTATTGGACGACGAATCCAAAAGCGATAGAATTGGTATCGATTTGGAATACCTACTTAGTGAGAGATCACCAAAGTCTGTTTGTGGGGACTCTTTATTAGGTGTTTAAAGTCATTCACGATGACAGTAATCTTAATTTTATTATTCTGTCTTGTGCATGTTCGTGCTTTTTATTCTTCTTACATTTCCTTCCTTATTAGCACTGTTGTTAACTGGATTCGTTCAAACTTTATATGAATTCCTCTCAACCACGTCAGTTGTACTACCTTACTCAATTTACTTAATTTTATTTTAGTTTCTACCCTATTAACTCTTCCACTAGTTGTATCTTTTTTCCTGAAATGCAGTAAATTGAAGTGATGCGAATATTTTACTAGGGGCCTCAATCATTCACTTAATTTTACCTTTATATAAGTACAGGGCAGCAATGTTGAACGCATATTTTATTTGAAATATCTATGATTAAAACGTTGTAGTGTTCATTTTATTTGGCAGCATCTGCATATACTGGACCTGTACGTGGCCTCACATTTTCACCCGATGGATTGCATTTGATCTCATGGGGTGTTTCTGGATCAACACTAGATAGTTCATGTCTTCGAATATGGACATCCGGTCCGGGGGATTTCGAAGGACCTACGAAAATTCCTCTACCTCGTCCAGTAAATTTTGGTAATGTTATTCAGAAATTCCACAGCAGTTGTTTTCTTCAACTATCAAATAGCCTACCTCTGAGACTGGCTGCTACAAGCGGATCAACGGGAGACCTGTGGGGAGCCCCACCTCTATGTGTTTTTGTCCCAGTGAAGAACCAATTATTAATAGCTTCTGCAACTAAGCTTGATTCATCAACCAGACTCATTACACGACATTTTTCGAAGGTTAGTTCTTTCATTAGTCACTTATGAGATAGAAAAGCTTGTAATTATCCACTGGTTTATTTCATGTTAAACTTTTAATACTTACATAGTATACCTGATTAATTGTGAAAGTAGGTTCAATATGAGCATGATTTTCTCAGTTGTAGTAAATTCAATTGAGTGTTTTCCGTTTTCTATTCATCCTTTGGTATTCTTACATAATCCACTTATCTATTCGTAATAATCATTGTTTAATAAATTAATAATAATATGATAATTTGTGGCTAGTTTCTGCAAATTAATTGATTTTGAATTCTGCTTTATTACCGCTCCTCATGTACCTTAATCCTGGTTAATTTTGTTAACTGACATCTTCACATGATTGTTATAATTTTAATAGATAACTATATATATATATATATATATATATATATATATATATATATATATATATATATATATATATACATATATATTAGTGTGGAGCCATCGATGGGAAACAAACTGAAAAGGAACATATTTCTCTTCCCAATTTTATCTTTCCTGAATGTGTAAGTCGGAATTTTTCAATTACAGGAATGTGGACGCTTAAGGTTTTGTTTAATACTCATAAAATCTTTATGGATTTGTGAAGTAATAATCAAACAGTTTTACACTGTCGTCTTCGCTATTTGCAGTTCTTTGGTGTAGTACTTTTATTTCGAATTGAAATCTTGCTTTATGCCGAGCCTTGTATATCCGCATATTGTCACTCACCCTCAATAATAACGTAAGATAGTACTGATCGTCGTTGAATCGTGTTCACTAATTAGAGAAAAATCTGTTTATTCTATCAGTTGTAGCTTATTTTTCACATAGTAAGATCTAAAAAACATCATTACAAGTTTATTGGTGGATGGTGACTAGCACTGGAATCCAGCATACGCATTTCGTCCCATTTTGGGCTCTTCACATGGGTGTATCCGCATTCCGAGGCTCGAACCCAGTGCCCATATGTTCAAACGCCAAAGCGTTATCGACTAACCGAGCACCACGGCGTCCAACTTTCGCCCGATATTCACATAACCGACCTCGAATTCGCCGACGACGTCGTGTTACTAGCTGAAAACTTACCCGATATGCAACAGGCGCTCGATCAGATAAACCACCTCGCGTCTACCATCGGTTTGGAAATCAACACTTCCAAAACCAAAATGTTTTCGAACACATCCACCAGCAATGATGAAATCTTACACCTGAATGGAGCACCTATTGAAATTGTGCCATCCTTCAGATATCTGGGATCCATAATGCTTCCCAACGGTTAAGCGAAAAACGAAGTGAATGCGCGGATCTCCAACGCCCGGAATGCGTTTCTTCAGCTGAGAAGCGTTCTATGGAGCAAGAGAGAAATCAGTCTCAGGACTAAAATTCGGGTTTACCAAGCCTCCATACGATCCGTTCTCCTGTATGGCTGTGAAACCTGGCCTCTTCGCGCGGAAGATGTACGCAGACTTGAGGTAGTAGACCATTGGTGCCTCAGGTACATTCTGCATGTTTGTTGGCAGGACAAACTCTCCAACGAAGAAGTGCGTCGTCGTTGCTACAACACCAACCAAATTCCAGTACTGGTCCAACAACGTCGCCTTCGGTGGTTTGGCCATGTTCTGCGCCGACCAGATGATGATCTGCTCAAATCAGTTCTAAATCCCTCGCCATTACCATCTTGGCGATGTCGCAGGGATGGACAGCTGAAAACATGGCTTGGTACAGTCAAGGCCGATATGGAGTGCCTGGGGCTACAAACCGTCTACGGACTCCATCTGTGGAAGAAGAATTGGATAACCCTGTCGCAAAACCTTGCATCAGATCGCCGCGCCTGGGCAGCGATGATTCGAGATGTTCATGAAGCCGGCTCATCCTCTCGTAGGAGATAGCCGAAGTAAAGTAAAGTAAGTATCGACTAGACCACTTGGGCCACGAGAGCCAGCTCTTGCGTGACGGGTCATATTAATTATTTAATTGGATTTTAGATTTTCCCGTCGATTGATTGGACCGAAGTGCTTGGTCTCAGGTTGACATGTCCGTTTCTTGTGCAGATGCTTCGACCAAGCACCTCAATTCAATCAATCGAAGGAAAAATCTAAAATTGAATTAAACATCATTACACATTCGCCACTTATTTAGTCTTGTTTCATGCATACAAATATAAGGGTGTGTTGCGCATACAAATTAGTGCTTCTTAGTTACTGTAATTAATTCTCTTAAAATTGAATAAAATGTGCTATAACAAGAGTAATCAGACTAACGAAAACGACAGCTAGAACATTTACCAGGCGTATTAATTAATATACTACGGTAGTTATTAAATGTCCTTGAATTCAAACAAAGCAAGAAAGAAAAATGTACTAGAATAATATTGCCTCATTCTCTATTATTTCCCGGTTTTTGTCATCTGTCTGCAACTATTTACACTATGACGAAAAGTAACTGATAGAAACCGTAAGTAACATAGGACTGAAATCATGTAAGTTGTTAAATTACTAAGGTTTAAAAGGATGGGATAGTTACACGATAATTTAATGAATACCTTCCAAAGTAGCCTTCACTGTTGTTCAGGTGAAACGGTCAAATTTTATAAACAGAACAGACTTTGGTAGAATATATGATGCAGTCGAATTGTGTAGCTTACTTTTGTAACTCACTCAAGCAGTACAAGTTTCACTAGTGTTTCTTGAGCTCTTAGATCTTTCAAAATATCGATATATATATATATATACATATATATAATATCCTAAAGAAACCACTTGACTTTTAATAAATAGTTCTCTCTAATGAAGAAGATTTGTAGCACAGGTGGATGTTTGTGGTGTAGTTGTGCTCTCTGAGCTAGGTGAATGATATCATTTATGGAGAATTCAAATAAGTTCATTCCATACTAAAAACCTGCGCTGAAGATGTTATCTAGAAGAACGACAAAAGCCTCTCAATTAAATCAACCATCTCAGAGAACACAGCTACACCTAAATGGTCCTCTATTTCGGTAACTACTTCATTTTCTGTTATAGGTAACCTTACACAGTTTTAGTGATAAATTACCTTACGAAAGACTATGTGCTTTATATTTAGTCTGGATTATTTTATTATTTTTCGTTCATAACTTTTTGTTTTGTATCATAGTTGTTTTTTTTTCTGTATGCTTCTGTCAAATTAAGGTTCGGTCATGTGTTTGGAATAGCAGACTAATGGAACTGTACACTTGCGGTGCTGATGGAAATTTATTTACATGGCCAGTCAGTCATCCTGCAGAACAGGAGTGAAAAGATTCACAATGATGTAGCTCACTCATAAGCTATATATGTTGTCGTCTTTGTAAATAAATATATGTACTACTTTGGACTGTCTTTTTTATTGCTTTCTCTCTCACTTTTTGTACTGAGTTCATTGTATGGTACAGTGGTTACTCCTATTAGTCAGTCTTCCGGTTTGTTTTTGGAAATCTAACATTAATGAAGAAAGACAAAAAAAGAAGATTCAAATTGGTTTTAGATTTAATTGAATTATACACAATTGTGTATATTGTTTGATAAAGAGTGATGTTTCTGAAAAAAAAGTAACAACATATGGAACAGGACAAAAGGGACTCATTTTATTTTGTTGATATCTGATCAACTGCTTATAACCTGAGTAGTAAAAGTTAACACTTTTATTACAATTATAATGCACCTTTATTCTTTGGATGTATAGATGAGTTGAAGTATGCGTTGAAGATGTTGCCTAGTAGGGCAATGAAAGCTTCGCGAATTAACTATCCAGCTCAGAGAACATAACCGCATCAAAACAAGTTGATGTGTTCAGTAAGTAAAAGACAAGAATATTGTTGTGGTTATGCGTGTGACGCAATTGAAGTTTCTTCAATAAAACAAAAGTGAGGGGCAATGGTATGTGCTATTGACAAGAATTTATGCATACTATATCTTGTGTGATGTCTTCTACAAGAATATTGAATGGTGGAGCAACAGATTAAGTTGCAAACGCAGGAAATAAAAGATCATTGCTAATCGGCATAAAACTCATGAAAGGGACACAAAAGAAGTAAAATGTGAAAGGCTTGCACAAATTTCAATTTAAAGCTTCTGTGAGTTTCCAGACCGTAGATGTTACGAATTTCCCGAGTGCCGAGTCAGATTGAATCATTATCAATTATTTCAAATAATCCCATTGTGTTTAAGAAACAATCACCACAAGATTTTTCTGAACGTTTCACTGTGTAAGCCACAGCTTCAGGCGATTTGAATTTCTGTTTTGCAGCATCAGCGAATATACTTTTGGAAACTCTTCTTTGATATATGACTTACTGCTTCGATTACAATTTATATTCGCAATGTTATATTATTAATTTTCGCTTGGGTTCGTAGTCGAGCATAGGTCTTCAAGAGCACGTTTCCACTTTTTCGTATTCTCTGCGCTACTCTCTAACTCTTCGCACAATTTTGGATGGTCTCTTATCTCCTTGTTCTATCTTCATGTTACACTCAGGCACCCCACTGTTCGTTTCGCATTTGGTTTCTGCTCGAGATCCTGGTATGATATGTCATCCGTGGGACTCCTTTGCGTATATCCATCCGAACTCCACTTTTCTCTATATATTTGTGGAACAATAAGTTCTTGTTTGATTCGTTTTCCACAGTTTCTTGTTGGTGATTCTCTCCGACCAGCCATCTTCAATATAGAGCAGACAGCTGTTGATAAAGGTCTGCAACCTGTTGGAAGTGGTTTTGGTGACGTTCAGTGCAGGTTTTTGGCCCATATAGAAGCACTGACTGACTTAACATTGGTGTTGAAAACCTGGACTCCGTTTTTTATGCTAATTGCTGATCTCCCAAGTGATTTCAGAGTGACGAAGGCCTATCTTGCCTTTTCCATTTTGGTGTTGACATCCTTATCTGTTCCGCCTGTAGCTGGAACAACGCTGCATAGAGATTAGTGAAGGAATTGATATCTTTCAAATCTATTACGATGATAGTGGCTGGTGCTTGTTGTTGTTGTTGATTGGTTATCTTCATCGCCTCGGTCCTATCTGAGTTCACCTGAATTCCTGTCTTCGCTGCTTCTTCTGCCAACTTGTTGGCTTTCGCCTGTAAGCCTTCGGATTTATTTGATATTGGACAAGAATATTCCGCTAAGTCCAGATCTCCCGGAGTCTTCTTATCGGTGCAATGCATTCCTGCTTTCTTGCTCTCCGTCTTTTGCTGCATGATCCAGTTCACCACATTTAGGAGTATCATTTTTGATGGTGGACAGCCCTGTCTTCACTTCAAAGGTTTCACTGAGTTTTCCGCTGTAGACCACCCGATACGTGGTGTTGTCATATAACTGTTGAATGAGGTTGATAAAGGTTTGGGGTACTGCATGGTGCAGAAGTAATTCACAAATTACTTCGCTGTCGAGGTCTTTGTGTGGTCAAGAGCTTTATTCCGCGCCAGTTCCTGCATAGACCTAAGCCGCTTCTTGGTAGTTTGATAAGTTAGCTACTTTTCCAATCAGTAAGTAGCTTTCTTCCTTTCAAACTTTATGCAATAGCGACCTTAGGGTATCTGTTGTGATCTCTGTATCAGTTCTGATTGCTTCCGGAGGAATAGCATACGGCTCTTCTGCCTTCGCTGATTTCAGTAGCTTGACAGCACTCAAGACTTCTGCTTTTGTTGGAGGTTTGGTGTCTACTGGCATTTCTCTGAGTGCTGTTGGGGCTATTTCTGGACTAGTGGCAGAGGATAGTCAGTTAAGAACTTCCTTGAAGTGACCGGCCGATTGTTTTATTTGTTTCTCCTCCTTGGTAATCAGGTTACCTTAAGCATCTTCTATTGGTTTCATCATCTGGGTTGATGTCTTCCCGGTTAGGGACCTAGTTCTGAGGTTTCTTTTACTTGTGGCCTACCTGTTGTGCTTCAGTTGCCAGTTTGTCGTAGAATTGTCTTCTGTCTAGCACTCCTCTCCACTTCATTCGTTATTAAGTGCGACGTATAATGAAGTCAGCTTCTCCTTCTGTTGTCCATTTTTGGATTGGTTTATCTTCTGTCCCAGCGTCTTCTCTGCTATTCGCTTCCAGATGTCTGTAGAGAGCCATTTCCTGTCTCCCCTCTTCCTGCCTAAAGCGGTTGCATTTTTTTTGAACACCACTTTCAGAGAGTTCCTTCAGACAGGTTTCCTACTTCGCTCTGATGGCTGCAGTTAAGGGATCTTTGATAGTTTTATTTCATTTTCTGTGTTGAACTTGAATTGTAGTCTGTCTCTGGTTGTTTTGAAGACTTTCTGCTTGATCTTGAATGTTCCTTGCAATAGATAATTGTCTGAGCCCACATATGCTCCCCTTTTTGGCTTCGTATCTAACAGACTGCAGCTTCACTTTCTTAAGATTGAGATGAAGTCTCTCTCGTTTTTGGTGTGTCCGTTGGGTAAAATCCATTGCGTCTTGTGGGTGTGCACGCTACCTCCAACCATCTCACTATTAAAGGTTTGCGAAGAGTTATCCGTTATAATTGATTTCACCGAGCAAGAGTCTCTCGACCCATGATGGGTTCTCTTCCTGAATTGTCTGCTCCCAGCTTAGCATTCATGTCGCCCGTAAGATCTTGAAATAATAGAATATTTGTAGCTAACGTGGATGATTTGCCCATTAGAGTTTCGATTTTTCAATTTCGCATGTTTGCAGTTGTCTACAGAAATCTCCCTTCCACTCTTATTCTGAGTGGTTTGTAAACGCGTTGCATTGGATGGTTTTAACCTTCTTTCTTTTTGAGTTGAACCTTGGTGTCATGAGCCTAGAGCGGATTCATTCGTGCTGCATGATAGCCTTCGGCGCAGTTGATGACATCGTAATAGTCACCTCCTTAGCGTGTTCATGGATGTCATCTGGATGACCGAAGTAGATTATTGAATCTCCAGTTAACAATTTGGATAGTCCGTACTCATTTCACCTGCTGTCACAGATTGGTTGGAGTTCTACGCTTTATCTTCTCATTTCTTTAGTAACTTGGATAGTCTTCTCAGCTTCGTACTTTGTAGGAACATTCCACGTCCCCATTCTTATTTTTGCTTTTGTCGAAAGAAAACACATCGGCTGGCTGGCTTCCTGAAGCGTTTCACCAGCCCGCGTCATTTCGTTTCTACGATTCCGCCTAAGAATAAGTTAGTTTTTCATAATTTCTTGTGTTGTAAAGTTTCTGTAGAGTTTGGATTGCTTTTTTAAGGTAGAGTATCTAGCCCCACGCCCAACCCTTTTCCTTTACCGTGGCTAAGGACCGGCTAGAAAACTAGACTAGCTTGCAGGAAAATATTGCGATACATATATTATAAGATTGGAAAATCGTTAAAATGAGGAAATGAAATATTAAAAATATGTTGTCAGTCAAGTTCATTTAGTTAGCTATTGGAAATATGAAGAATGACGATTAATTAATATGAGTACCTTTATTAAAAGATGATATAATCAGTTAAGGTTAGAAGATCATTAACCAAAGTAGAGAAATGCTTACTATACCTTCTTTTTGAATACATAAGCCTCGTTTTAACATTTGATATCGATGGACTAGGTGAACTTAAAGAGGTCTGAGTCTACTTGTTTTTCTTTTTCCTTTGAAGGGATCGCAAATGTCTGCCTGATGTCGTGTGACAATTAGACGTCTTATACCTGTATCGCCAGAGATGTCTCGACATCTATGTCGTACGTCATCTGTTGCTTATCACCTCAAAGTCGCCACCTTTAAATTTGAGCTGCCATGTTTCTTAATCTTTTGTTTTTATTTTCCCCAAATCTGTAGACAGGTCTTTGTGGATATCTGATGTTCAAGGACATATTACCATGACCCCTGTAAGATGGTACAATACGATGAATAATATTGCGGTTAGGCATAGAGTGCTAGACAAGGAAGGATAGTCAACTGATAAGGTCATAAATTACATTGGTCAACTTTATTTTCCATGGTGAAGTAATTTTTGTCTTGGATGTGATTCAAGGTTTATTATAGATAAGGCAGACAATCAACCCACGTGCTGCAAGGGGTCATTCATATAAGAACAGAACTTCGGTACTGTGTTAGAGAATAGTCCCATCATAGAGTAAATTTACTTTATGAAGTCTCACAGTGTTATACAGTATTATTTGGTGGTGGCATTTCGAGCAAAATTTATTGCTCGTATTCATATCATGGTATTAATACAACTTCCAACTTCATTTGTATAAATGAGTAATAAATTGATTCGACATATGAATGAATAAAAAAGGTCAATTTAAATTTCAATAGACTTGTGTGAAAGAGATAATAGAAAGTAGTGTATATTCGGAAATGTGAATGTGATAAGACGGGAAATAAGATGTTTAGTCAGTAAAATAAAATATGAAAGGTTACAGAGACTGAATATATCTGCGCTATTGACAACAATTTTGAGCCA